ATTTTCTTTTGATTTTATCTAAAAAAAAGGGTTTTATTTAGAAACAAATCTTTATATCAGTCATCTTCCACTATGTACACTCGCCAGCTTGCCCGCAACGCAAGAAATTTGTCTTCGGCTTCGTCTTCATCTTCGTCTTCGGCTTCGCTTCCACTCTGTTTGCAACCTAACTCATATGTGAAAGATAGCTCGCACGAAAAAACAATAGATGGCGCTCCAATCACAAATTATTATAGGTGTTAAAATTTGCGTTTTTGTTGGAGTTTCGGTGACGCTGGTTTTGCTGGGGCTGCGATCCAATACTTTTCGTGTAAAATCCTGGGTATGTAACTCAATCGCCTAATGGTTTGCCGAACCGTAAACATATGTTTACACATCCAATTTCGTGAGTAGGTACCTGGTACTCACACCTTTTTTAAGAAGTTTCACTTCTATCATGTGTACGGTGTTACACACGCATTTTTTAATTTTACATATGTGTTACTTGAATTAATTTATATTATACTTGTATGTATGTACATTATATACATGTAGTAATTTAGCCTCATTTATCAAAACTTGAATTACGCACATGATTTGGATGCTTTTATCCGCCGATGTGCACGCTGCGTGATCAGCACAAAATGAGGTTGTTGTTTTTGTTTCCAATGCAATGCTCGCAAACCACAAAGCTGAGTATGCTCGCGCACATGTTAATGGTGTGTGACCACTGTGACATACGCAGCCATGAGCGTTGCATCGACTCATAATAATGTTGAAACGCCCCATATGGCTGACCTCGTACGTCTGTCCATTATTTCATCAGGTGTGTCTGCGTCCCGTCAATCGGTCAATGCCCTCACGTGTCCGTTTAGGCCCTAGTGTAACATCCACACTAACCTTTAAAGATTTACCATTCCATGTTAGATCTTTTAATTCGTCATCTATACGGCAACAAAAACAGGTTAATTCAAGGCATAACAAGGTCGAAGTGATTTCGGCATTTCTCTCTTTTGAACTGCGACTGAAATGTCAACTCTTAACCCTATACTATTCAAAATTTTTTTTTTTATATAAATTTTCAATTGTGAGCTGTGCGACTGATTTTAAATGCATAATAAAATGAAAAGGAATTGCGATCGGTGCTTTGTGTTTGTCAAGAGCCTGGACAACAAACTTGTGCGTTATTGAATTGTCAAGTGAAGCGACAACGGTGGGCAAATCGCTGCGATGTTTCATTAGGAGACTCTTCACGTGTGGTCGTGACTTTATTTGTTGCCTATCGCAGCCGAGTATTTCTAAGTGGACGCGTTTGTTACCAGGTGCAGGATTTATCATACCGAATATGAAAAAAAAATCTCCCAAACTTTTTTTAATGTCTAATATACTTTAGAATTAAATGTTTGAATAAAAAAATAAATGCTCAAAAACATTGGGATAGTTAAAGCAAGAAAATTGTCAAAACGGTTTTATAAATGAGTGTGTTTCATTTAGTGTGCAATTTTGTGTAAGTATGCATTTCCACATTTACATTAAACCGGAAATTCAATAAATAAAATGAAGCTGATTCTAATGAGATTTTAAATATTTTCATATTTACAAAAAATTTAATTTCAAAGATGTTGAGTTCTATCAAATATGGTAAATGCATAACAAAGGGTTAATTTCTTTGTTTACATTTTTTGACATTACAGTCAGGTATGAGAGAGCTCGACTGAATTGTCACTTCTACCTTGTTGAATATGCCTTGGGTAAATTCATTTATATTTCTCTTATTTATTTAGAATTATTTTCTGTACAATCCTCATGTCTGCCTACTCTAATACCTACAAAGAAATCTTCTCAACTCAAAACAAGTAGCTTAACCAATAAAGTTGAAATTCCAGAAAATTTCTAAGATTTACAAATAAATGCATATACATTTATATGTGTATATATATTTATATGTGTATATACATATATACATTAGAGCGGGTCAAATTTTTTCTGTACTTTGTTCCGACGATTGACGAGTTCTACTAGCAATTCTGAACAAAAAAGTCCATGGAAAGATAGCTCTAAAACGGATTTGGAGCCTCTTTTTTAATTTTAGTTATTAATCCATAACTATACGACTTCAATTCAATTAAATTAATTATATAAAAAACATATTATTAGAAAGGTATCAAACTAAGGTAGCTTAAGAAAGATTAATTTCTAAAATATTTTTGAAGATGGTTGCCACCTGTTTAGTTTCAACTAAATTGATAAGGTAAATGAAATGTTGCAATATGGGTGCCAAATAAAGAGGTTTAGAAAGCTTAATTTGGAAAATGTTCCTAAAGAGGGTTGCCACCTGTTTGGAGAATTTAAATCAATAAGATAAATGAAGAATTACGATATGAGGGCCAAACTAACGAGTTTTTAGAAAGCTTACTTGCTAATATTTTTTTAAAAAGTTTATCATCTGTTTGAAAAATTTAATTCAATTAAGGGCCGTTTTCCCAACAAATTTTAAATTTATCTCCATCTGCCCTTTAAATGCAAATTGAGCTACTTGAGAAAACGGTAGGTACACTTGGGCGGAATATCGATCCATGATGCAATAATGCAAGGTGTTATATACAGGCTGGTAGTTTCTCGCTCTAATCTATTGACTGCCTTAGGTGAAGCAGTGTTACTTTATTAACAATTCTTTGCCTAATAATATAGTTGATTTTTATTTATATTTTATCAGTATACACATTTTGTTTTCTTAAAAAGGTACTTTATCTTACTTTATTTCATTTCATTACGAATATACTGTAAAAAAGCAAATTTTCTTTAGAAGAAAATATGAAATTTTATATTTTTCCCCCAAATGGGGATTAATTTCTTCCCGTTTTTCTTCTTATTGTACAGAGCTAAGGCAGTCAAATCAAGCTGTCCCAACTGATACCACCTTGTATTATTGCATCATGAGATCGACCTATCTCGGCAGCCAGTTCTAAAACGCCCTATCTCAGAAAACTTTTCAAGTACGCCCTACTTCAGAATTTGGTTGAAGAACGCCCTATCTCAGAACATGGATGGGCGTTTTTCAATGAATTATTATTCAAATAAAAAATCAAATTTTATTCATAATTTTTTCTAATTTTGAATGACGAATAAATTTTTATTCTTCATTCAAGCACTTTCAAACGATGAATAAATTTTTATTCATCATTCAAGTAATTGCAAATAACGAATAAATTTTTATTCATCATTCAAGTAATTTAAAATGATGAATAAATTTTTATTCTGCATTCAAGTAATTTCAAATAACGAATAAGTTTGTATTCATCATTCAAGTAAGTTCGAATGAAAAATAAATTTTCATTCATCATTCAAGTAATACTGAATAACGCACAATTTTTCATATATTCATTCTTTCTTGTTCACAGTACCAGGTAGACGATCATGGTAAATGTTCGTCTCGTAGATACATATTTTTTGTGTATGAAATATTAGAAAATATAATATCAAAATCTACATATATATGTATATAAGCATGAACATAAGTATGCACTTATTTAATTACATTTTAAATGGCTGTGATTACAGAGCTTTGTAAACTTACTTATTACACTGTTTAAAGTATAGGGAGCAAATTTTAACGGAATTCTCATAAACCACACAACATTTTTGTTTATTTTCTTCTTCTTAGTTTTTAAGTTGCCAGTATAAAATTTCCGACAATGGACCTATTATATCATAGCCATATGTTCGTATTTTCATCCGTTTATAAATATTAAACATTAATTGTATTAATTGATATAATAAAATAAGGAACATTTTACTACTACTATTTAATCATCTATATATGTACATATGTACATATATAACACGTATGAAAGGTATGTATGACGTTTTCTTAAAATTTAAGTCCCGTGTAAATATGCAACCCTACGTCATATCGGC